GAACTTCATCAGTTGAGATTCCTGGGACACGTATGACGTATGCTCAACCACCGACTGCCTCGACGTGCGATGTTCTATAGTGTAGGAGTAAGTCGGGAGAAAGCTGGGGGCGGCCAGACCAAAACGTGGCACAAATCTATGAAGTCACTGACAAGTGGACTGAGACATGTTGGTAGGTGTAGACTACCTGGTTGGGATCGGCGAGATGATAGCAATCGATGGTTAGAGACTTTGAATGACATGGCTCAAAATCGTTTGCAATGGCGAAGGTGCATCCACTTTTTGTGTTCTGCCAAATTCTAATCTGAATTCTTCATATTCCTTCCTTTTTTCTCTTTCTAAATTAATTTCACTGGATTATACTCCTTGAATAACATCTTCAAACCCTAATCTTTCCTATTACAGCTTATACTCTTACTACCTCTACAACTATGGGATTTGAATCGACAAGTGTGTCTTTGTGTTAATATGGTATGGCGACTCAAACTGATGTACCTACGTACGAAGTTCTACGTTGACTGAATGACTGACCTTAATATCAGAAAAATAAGTCCAGTAACCTCCAATTGATTTTCTATTGTAATTGTCTATGTTTACTAACGTGGGTAAAATAAAATGCTTTTATTTAGAAACAATTTATTTCAGTAATTTAATGTACATTGAAATACTGTGATAATTTTAAATAAGACTTATCCAAAATGCAAATTGATTGATGAAAATAAACTAAAAAGGATTCCAAGGTGTTTGTTGAGTGAACAGTCACAGTAAATATTTGCCATCCGGTTGACACTTCAACAATATTTAAAACACACTACTATTACTATGAATGGCTCATTTATTCAACTTATTCAACCCTCACCCCGATCAGAAATAACTTACGTAATTTGTCCGTGAAATGATCATAGGGAAAAGAGATTCTGAGTTATCTCAAAAGGCTTAACACAACGGGACTCATGTTATTCTGCAAAGACATTTGTTCTAGCCCTCTTCGATTGAGTTAGCTGATTTTCTAAATATATTCTTTAATTCATTTAAACTTCTACGTAACAGACAGTAATAGTTTCACCATGTAACTGAAGTTTATTGATTGGAACATTCAATTTTGGATAAACCAACTACAGATTCTAACTTTGTTTTGCTTATCAAAGTTAATGTTATTTGTTTTAACAACACTATATGTTCAACCCCACATATTATTAGCTTGATGTTTATGGGGTTAAACAATTACAGTTTACCTTATGATGATAACTATTTTGCAAAATTTTGGTAAAACTTGCTAGAAAACGGTACGGCAAATCAAAGTAATTTAAATTTTTTACTGATATTCTATCAAGAAAGTGATTGCGATATTTGTGTTTGATTAGGAATTTTCAAATAAAATGAGTTAACTTGAGGCATTGACAAAATTAGCTTCCGAAATATAATCATACTTTGAATACCGTTTAAAATATGACAAACTGAGTGTAAGGACCGGAATTCCTGTGATTCTGAACCCTTGGATTCGTCATTTACGTGCTCCATAGATTAAATACACCAAAAGATGATATTAGGCGATAACTGCATATAGAAGTGTACAAAATGGCACAAAAGCGGTACTGTCAAAGCAAATATATACAAGAACAATAATTTTTACAACAGGAATCTTCAATAATTTGTACAACTACCTTGTGTAATCAAACCATACGACATCAAATTATTAATTGGGTAAGAAACATGAGCTTAACACTCGTCAAAATAGAAGAAACCGTGCGCGTCAAGCAACGAACATTGTACTAACCGAAAAAGGGGACACGTAAGATCATTTTGCTTCAAACGTCTGTAATCAAACTATAATGTAACAAGTAAAGGAAAGTCAAGACTAACAACTATTTACTTGTCAACAACGTTCCCAATAAGTAGAAAACGAAGTTTTTAACACTTGGGTATAGGTTAAATGAATCAAATAGAAAAGGAATAGCCAAGAATACGGTTACCGAAAAGAGTAGCCAACGGAATCCAAGGTCAAGAGAAACAAACTAGCAGTCAGAAAAATATCAGACCATAAATTAAGAGAAAACAATAATCTTAAAATCAACAAAAATACGAATAAACTACACATAAGTAGAGAGACTTATGGGAATAACGTTGCATGTAAGGAAAAACAAAGAAATACTGTCACATGGAAAACATACATAGAAGGATTCCTAGGCACATTCATGAAACAACGTAAGAAAAAGATTTCACACTGAGTTGTTAGTGAATTAAATATTTAAAATTTAGACTCGAGGTCACGGTATCAGATATCATGCGAATACTAAACTGCGCAAAATCTGGTATACGGATGAGAAGCTCGGCAACCCTAAAAAACATATTCTCCACACATTTAAGATTGGACAGTACATGACTGTCAAAAATATCCTATATTTTCGACTTTAAGTAAATGAAAAATTACTTTGAAACTGTTACCGGTCAATGCGGTAATATATAATTTAAACCAAGGACCTTTCATTGAAAAGGTTATACGGCTCAGATGTGGTGATTCTAAATGACTGGTAAATTTTCGTAAGGATTTTTGGTTTTTAACTTGTAGTCTTTTCTACAGGACATCGTTAACTTAAATGTAAACCAACATTTTTCTAGATCGTTCATAAAAACACAAATAGTTTCATAAAGGATTGGACACGGGACCTGAGAATGTCGCGCGCCAACTGCTTTAGAAGTTGACATCGATCTTCGAACCACTAAAGACATCTTAAAGTATGTGTACTAAAGAAACAGTGAAAATATACTCAACGTTATCACGTGTGAATCTTGCTGTAACTGTAATTTTTATTCACCATGTCAAACTGTACCACACCGGACACATGTATTACATGCTAAAATGATAGAAAGCTTAATAATAGTCGTCGTTGTTTTGAAGCACACCGTCGGTGATAATGGAGAAAGATTTGAGGCTAAGTTCAGTTCTGGTAATTAACCATAATCATAAGAAGAATGACAAACCAGAAATCGTTTTCTTTCATAGTTTACGATAACATAATAAGCAACACTTAGCAACGAGTATGTGGAGGGTTAGGAAACTGCAGTTGCAAGTAACATTGATCTTGGGTAGAAAAAATACTTTCACAGGTGTCTAATATCTGCAAAAAAAAAACTCAAAACAAAAAGGATTGCTATTTTATCCCATAGAACACGTAAGTATGCCGGAAGGAATACACTAACCTGAGTAGTAGTAAGAATTGAGAAAATTAGCGCCAACACTTGGAGCATCATATAAAATACCGAATTTCAGCACACTGAAAGAATAAATACTGCAGCAACATTAAAAAGCCAGTGGAAAAACACAACGACGCAAACTGACAGCCATCGCTTACAAAGATGGTGGAAATGATGATTGCCGCTTCCTTTTGATTGGTAGCTAACTGGACTATCGAAACAACGAACAAGAGTTGAGTTTATTTCCAGTAAACAGGTTCTTATTGATTGACGTTAAGAATACAGATAACATTGAAAGCGCCCAATTTTGTATTCAAATAATATCAATCACACTTCATGATGGAACAGTAAGCGTTAATATCCATCTTAGGATTTTTAAAAATTTTATAAAGGTACCTTCTGTATGGTTGTGTATATCAGGGCTACTTTTTTAGCCTCGATATTTAGAATAAAATAATTCAACTACTAGCGACTCAAAACAGACAAACGCTAAGGACTTGAACAACACAAAGCAGGGGAGGGATTTGTTTTCCATACAACCAAATATATATATATATATATATATATATATATCCAAGCAGCTCCAATGATGTGATGAATTGAGTCGGCGTCCATGACAAAACAGCTGTCACATATTATTAAAACCCAGTCCTGAGAAGGCTGCAAGACAGGATTGTAGTTATTCAATCGACTTCTGAAATTCTGTTGCCTACAAAACCTTATCCCTTTCGCTCCCAATCTGTGGATTAGAATTCCTACGCTAGCAAATTTTGCAATAAATCAGTGATATTTGGTTAACCCCTTTTAAACAAACCAGATCATACTTTGACCGCACTAGATCTCCTACAGAGTCGGTCGGCAACTCCAGGATGGTACTCTACTTTGCAGTAACTGATATTTACTAGGCGTAAGCTTGAATCCATTTTTGCGTATGCAATAGGGAACAGATCATAAGACATTGTTTCAAATCCATTTACTTGTGAGGGTAATACAAAGAATGGTTGAATTCTCTCCTAAACTCGTATTTTCACTTCGCAATACCCTGATCCCAGATTGAGTGTGGAGAATCACGGTGACAACATAACTAATAAACCGTCACGTGTATTCGACGAAACGGGAAGGAGTTCCGTTTAGCAGTCCAACAAAGTCGGCGATAACCCACACAGAGTTGTGTGTACAAAACGAAAGAAGCTATCTCGATTCTGACTACCCATATGATGTAATATATTCTACGGCGTAAGTAAAGATTCATGTGTTGGACTAAGTGTAACAATTATTTTATAAGAACTGTACACATAAATAGCCCATAAACTTTCAATTAATTGGATTCATCAATTAAAGTCCAAACAAAAATGAAGAATCATATCTGAAAACTATTTTGGCAATGAAAAATGTATAATGATGATTCTCGTCATATTTATAAAATAACATACATGAATTTATAAATGATCGGATAACTTCATAACTTAGCTGATATTAAATCCTCCAAATAAGCAATATATAACAGGTCAGAGAAGAAAGATAGAATAAAACTAAAGCTGAGAGAATATTGTTCGACTATAATTTAACCAAAATAATGTGTCAAAAGTCTGAAAATATGGAAAATAACCTACTTTTTTCGCTGACCTCTTTGTACTATTCGTTAAAATTAACAGTAATGAAGAATAAATGATATTTTAGGGGAAAAATTGTGTAAACATGGAGGAATACATAACCGACTGATATCCACACCTTCATATATATATATATATATATATATATATATATATATATATATATATATATATATATATACATATATAAACGGTATCGCTTAATAAAAAATTAGCTATACACCAGTGAAATTGTATTATATGATTAGTACTGGTGGTTAACAAAACTGTTTTCTTAAAAAATATCACATTGAAATAGAAAAAATGAATGAGCGTAAATTTAGAGGTAGGTATGCTAATGAAAAAAATGAAATAACAGAAAGAGTGAAATAGAAAGTGGAAGAAATAAAATAGTAAGGAATTGAGAAAAACACGAATAAACGATTTGATAATTCTCAATGACAAGAGAGAAAATACATACAAAAGTGAAAGTACATAGTGTACGCAGAGTATGTTTAAAGAAATCAACCTATTTAACATGGAAGAAGACAATAATAATAATAATAATAATAATAATAATAATAATAATAATAATAATAAGAAGAAGAAGAAGAAGAAGAAGAAGAAGAAGAAGAAGAATAGTAATAATAATAGAAGTAAAACTACTTAAAAGTAATGCTACAGTATAGATTGATCATCCAAGCTATTCATAGTCTTTCACAAGTTGTTTCAAAGTAAATTATACCCAGTTCATCAAGGAAAAAGAAGTTTAACAGATAAGAATAATAGTAACAATAATAATGATAATAACAGTTATAATAACAATAGTTATTACTATTATTATAGGCAATTATAGTCTTAATTAATAACCTTAATGAAAAACACATGGAAAAATCTAATGGGATATGAAAAAAAAGAATAAAAATTGAAATGTTAAAGTTGATATGGATTGTTGTTAATTATTTTTAAAAAAACTTTGTTGAACAATCTAAAAATAAATGTACTCAATGTATCCTTTTAGTGAAGTGAAGTAATAGGATGAAAAGTACACTAATACATATACATTCATATGGTATCGTACAATATGAACCAGTAATTATTATTTCTTTGTCATATTAATTTACTCATGATAGAGAAAAGGCACAACAGGTGAACAATAATAAAGTTACAGTTTCAAGTTTTCTCAATCTTCGTATTCACGTAGATACGTACGTAAACATGTACATACTTGACACATTTTAATGAACACAATAAGGAAATAAATACAATTATATATTATGCTATCGTATCACTGTTGTTTTCTTGAAGATAACTGATCAATGACGGGAGTGACATCACCATTCATTGTTGTTGACAGTTGAGATGATTGTTCTGATGGAGATTTCGGTAATGGTGGTAGTAGATACTTGACAGCTGGTCTTATTAATGGCCAAAATACATACCATAATCCAATGAAATAGACTGATTTCAATACCTGAATAGTAAAAGCAAAGTTACAGCGTAAATTATACGGATACATCAGTCAGTCATGTGCAATGTAGAACATGCTATATATGTCCATTGGTTTAAGATGCCTCATCAAAATGAGATGGTAAGTAGTAGAAATAGAAAGTCAGTGATAATAGAAAAGACTACAGATAAACAATATGGTTTGAGAAGAAAGAATGAATTTGTGGGACAGCGAAGTAGAAGATAATTTCAAAACTCAAGATCTGAGGGAATACAAAAAGTGAAAGCGTCCACACTATTGTGACTGATTCTGACCCATATAACACAACATCTACAACAATTCGTTACAATAATGGCTAAATGCTATCCCGCTACTCTGTACCTACCTACACAGCTCAGCAAAACAGACAGACTTTATGGACTGACAGTACATACTGGTTTGGCTGTCCTATATATATATATATATATATATATATATATATATATATATATATATATATATAAGGTAACGATGTTTGTTTGAAAGTAGAGAACCAGACAACGTTAATTGTATCTAAATGCGTAAAGAAGCTTTCATTTCTCATAGACTAAATATTTAAGCCTTTTATGTTAGATCGTAATAAAAAAACACATAGGTTATGTTACAAAACAAATATATAGGAAGTAAACCGTGCAAACTGAAATCAAATAAATCAAAACTGTTTCCGGCATAGTACAGCTAATGGTACTTTATCTAATATTGAAGACAATATTACCAATTACATCATCTGATAAACACAGTAACTGTTTCGGAAATTCCTAAAATTCATATACAGTTTACAAATCAAAAAATCTTCAGAATACCTCACTCATGAAGTTACAAGGTACAAGTCAGATCGTAAGTTCGAATACAATATTAATATCAGCAACTGTAAAAACTTCTTGTATGCACATGGTTCTGTATTGTAGTGGCTTTACTTTGTTGATCAATCACTTTTGTAACCGTTATTGTATAAATCCCACACTGTTTAATATCAGAAAGCAATAAGAAGCGGCAACTACAGTTTATTAGCGGATAACGCAGTTCACAAAGCTATAAGCACATCAAGCGAATTTGAAGCAGAGAGGTAAATGTATGTATGCGAGCAAATACAGAGGCAAATTCACAGTCAAATCGCATAACGGCACAGCAAAAGCTATGATATGATTTGAACACATGTATACATGAAGGAGAGGATGAATCATCGAGTGATATTATTATTATTATTATTATTATTATTATTAGCTTTATTCAATATTATATTTTTTGGTACAATATAGAATTCTCAGCACAAAGTACTTCAACAAGTTTCCGTTTCTTACTTCTTCGTCCTTCCTGACGATAAATATTGGGTGATGGCCGGTTAGAAGTTAGCAGCTCAGTCAATCGACATCTGGATAATGTACATTCCTGTCGCTGCATATTGCCAGCAACCACGATATCTCTGATTAAGCCTTCTGTAACCTTTACAGCGAAAGGTCTTACACTTTTCAGAAACGCACCTGAATAGGTTGTGCGATTAATAGGCATAATGATGTATTAAAACAAAGAAAATCAGATAACTTGTTGAAATATCTAGATGACAGGAACAGGTAGCCCAGATGTTTAAACAGGCCGCCTGAACAATCAACATTTTAGCTAGAGTCTGTCATGTGATCTGGTGATCATAACAGTACAAAGAAATAGACGAATGATTACTGTTCTAATAACATTATCTGTTAAGTAAGGTAATAAAAAGGCTTAACCAAAATTAACAATGATCAAAATTGGTTGTAGGATAGTCGCTATAGTATAGTATGCAATTTAAAAGCTGCACAGCATCATGGTCACATATGATTAACTTTAAAAGATTTTCAAAGTAATAGTGAAAAAACATGATCTTTAGAGTCAAATAAAGCAGTAGGAATCCGAATATAACATTTGACGAGGAATCCGACTTTAGTTGATTGCAAGAAGTGTAATGTGTCCACCAATGTATTTAGAGTTGGTTATGAAAAGAGATGGCGATTATTGTGAGGCTTGAAGGTTCTATGTTTTGTAACGAATGTGGCTGAAGATGCTCAATGATGATGAATCCTCAATTAGGACAGCACAGCCTTACACTACCTACTAATTTCTAATGATTTCCCAGATGATATCACTTTAGGATAAGAGAATATTTAAATCTATTCGGAAAATATGATTTAAGTTGATAAAAAAGTTGGTTTCAGATTATATGACAATTGAAAATAATTAACAATAAAATCACTTACAGAAAACCATAGACGAAATTTTAACAGATAAAACGCTACCATTGGACTAGCCAGAATAAAATAAATATGAAGTTTGCCACATACACTGCTGATCACACGTCCAATATACGTTTTATAAAAGAAATGATTATATTTTGAATTCTTCAGTATAGACAAAAACTGATTAGAAACAAAACAACAATAGTATATACACATATATTGAGAAAAAATAATTCAGTTAAACCAATTATAATTATAAGTGAAGGAACACCCTAACAGACAATTTAAATGACCTGAAGACACTGCAATAGACTAGTGTATACAAGAAACACGAATATAACAATCACATATTAGAGCTAGATTTTAGAAAACCTGATATTGCGAAAAACTCCATGTGAAACAAGGCAATTAGAACCTGTAAATTTTACACCAGTGGTAAGTGTAAATAGTGATACTATCTGAAGTAATTTAAAGTTTGAATCATACTTTCCCCAAATGAGTCTTGATCGATAATTGTGGTTTGCAAAACGTTTCGTTTGACGATCAAAAAGAGAACCAGCTTGATTAGTACATTGTTCTATGTTTTTTTATGATCATTCGGCTAAGATGCACGAGCTGACCTGATCGTCTTGAGAGTTTTATCATCTCTTAAAAATAGGCGACTGATGAATCCTGGGAGATTCATGACATGTTTCTTGTCTATCAGATCAAAATTACTTTACAACAGTCCACACTAACTCCGCCTGTAGCTCCTCTGGGGGTTACTGCCGGTCCCAAGCCCGGGTAAAGGAGGAGGGTTGGGCATGGGGTTAGCGACCCCATCCCGTAGAAAATCAACTCGCTAAAAAAACGCTAACCACAAAAAAATCATTCAAACCATTTAAACTCTGCCCAGGGAGTAGAAGGAATAATTATGACGTCTCATGATGAAAGCCGAGTTCATTCGGAAGTCATGAAGTCGATGCACCTTCTTACAACCAGAGCAACAATTTTTATAGGTACATGGAATGTCCGGACAATGTGGGAGACCGGAAGTCTTCCAAATCGCTGCAGAAATGAGAAAATACAACCTGGAGGTGCTTGGAATCAGTGAAACACATTGGACGCAGGTTGGACAACAACGACTGTCTTCAGGAGAACTTCTGTTATACTCCGGTCATGAAGAAGAAAATGCTCCACATACACAAGGAGTTGCATTGATGCTGTCCAGAAAAGCACAAAATGCACTTATAGGATGGGAATCTCATGGACCAAGGATCATCAAAGCCTCCTTCAAAACAAAGAGAGAGGGCATTACAATGAACGTCATTCAATGCTATGCGCCTACCAACGACTACGATGAAGACGCTTAAGACCAATTCTACGATAGGCTGCAGTCGATCTTTGAGAAGTGCCCAACCAAAGACCTGACCATTCTGATGGGAGATCTCAATGTCAAGGTTGGAAAGGACAACACTGGATATGAAGACGTCATGGGACAACATGGACTGGGAGAAAGGAACGAAAATGGTGAGAGATTTGCAAACCTATGTGCCTTCAATAAACTGGTCATAGGTGGCACCATATTTCCACACAAAAACATACACAAAGCCACTTGGATTTCACCGGATCACACTACACAGAATCAAATCGACCATATCTGCATCAACAAAAAGTTCAGGAGGACGATGGAGGATGTGAGAACCAGGAGAGGAGCTGATATAGCATCCGATCATCATTTGCTGGTCGCCAAGATGAAACTAGAACTCAAGAAGCACTGGACAACGGTGCGGACAACATCACAAAAGTTTAATACGGCCTTTCTTCGAGATGCTGACAAACTCAACAAATTCAACATAGCCCTCAGCACCAAGTTCCAGGCCTTTCATGATCTACTCAATGGAGAGGGAACTACAATGGAGAGCAACTGGAAAAGTATCAAGGAGGCAATCGTTTCAACATGTCAGGAGGTTCTGGACCAAAAGAAGCACCATCACAAGGAATGGATCACTGTTGGTACACTGGATAAGATTGAAGCAAGGAGGAACAAGAAGGCAGCAATCAATATCAGTCGAACAAGAGCGGAAAAAGCCAAGGCACAAGCCGAATACACCGAGGCAAATAAGCAAGTGAAGAGAAGCATCAGAACCGACAAACGTAAGTATGTGGAAGATTTAGCGATGAAAGCGGAAAAGGCTGCAAGAGAAGGAAACATGAGACAACTGTATGATACAACAAAGAAACTTGCTGGAAATTACCGTAAACCAGAAAGACCAGTGAAAAACAAGGAAGGCAAAGTAATCACCGACATTGAAGAACAACGAAACAGGTGGGTAGAACACTTCAAAGAACTCTTAAATCGACCAGCTCCACTGAACCCACCCAACATCGAAGCAGCACCCACAGACCTCCCAATCGATGTTGGCCCACCAACAATTGAAGAGATCAGCATGGCCATTAGACAAGTCAAGAGCGGCAAAAAAGCGGGACCAGACAACATCCCGGCAGAGGCACTGAAAGCAAATGTAACAGCAACTGCCAAGATACTACACATCCTTTTCAGTAAGATTTGGAACGAAGAACAAGTACCAACAGACTGGAAAAAAGGACTTCTGATCAAAATACCAAAGAAAGGCGATCTGAGCAAGTGCGATAACTACAGGGGCATCACTCTCCTCTCAATACCAGGAAGTCTTCAGCAGGGTATTGTTAAACAGGATGAAGGATTCCGTGGACGCCCAACTTCGAGATCAACAAGCTGGATTTCGTAAGGATAGATCGCGCACAGATCAAATCGCAACTCTACGTATCATTGTGGAACAATCAATCGAATGGAATTCATCACTCTACTTCATAGACTACGAGAAGGCATTTGATAGCGTGGACAGGACAACACTATGGAAGCTTCTTCGACACTACGGCGTGCCTGAGAAGATAGTCAATATCATACGGAACTCCTATGATGGACTAAACTGCCAAATCGTTCACGGAGGACAACTCACCGACTCGTTTCAAGTAAAGACTGGTGTTAGGCAAGGTTGCTTACTCTCACCGCTTCTCTTTCTCCTGGTAATCGACTGGATCACGAAGACGTCAACGACTGGAGGAAAGCACGGGATACAGTGGACAGGCAGGATGCAACTTGACGATCTAGACTTTGCGGATGATCTGGCTCTTCTATCACAAATGCAACAACAAATGCAGGAGAAAACGACCAGTGTAGCAGCAGCCTCAGCAGCAGTAGGTCTCAATATAAACAAAGAGAAAAGCAAGACTCTCCTACACAACACAATATGCACTAATCAAATTACACTTGACGGAGAAGCTTTGGAGGATGTGGAAACCTTTACATATCTGGGCAGCATCATTGATGAACACGTTGGATCAGATGCAAATGTGAGGGCGCGGATCGGCAAAGCAAGAGCAGCATACCTACAACTGAAAAACATCTGGAGCTCAAAACAATTGTCAACCAACACCAAGGTTAGAATTTTCAATACAAATGTCAAGACAGTTCTATTGTATGGGGCGGAGACGTGGAGAACTACGAAAGCCATTATCCAGAAGATACAAGTGTTTATTAACAGTTGTCTACGCAAGATACTTCGGATCCGATGGCCAGACACTATCAGCAACAAGTTACTGTGGGAGACAACAAATCAGATTCCAGCGGAGGAAGAAATCAGGAGGAAGCGCTGGAAATCACCCGATTGTGTCACAAGACAAGCCCTCACATGGAATCCTGAAGGTCAAAGGAGAAGAGGAAGACCAAAGAACACATTACGCCGAGAAACAGAGACAGACATGAGAAGAATGAACAAGAACTGGATAGAACTAGAAAAGAAGGCCCAGGACAGAGTGGGTTGGAGAATGCTGGTCGGCGGCCTATGCTCCATTGGAAGTAACAGGCGTAAGTAAGTAACAGTCCACACTGTATAGCTTCACATATTTGTAACATAATCATTGCAAGTGGATAACACAGTATGCGGACTGTAAAGATTTGATCACAGGTGTTTTTAAGATGTTGACTGCGTAACCGCTAAGTAAGCATAGTTAATGTTCGATACATTTCACAGGATATATATATATATATATATATATATATATATATATATATATTCAGGACAATAATATCCTTATTTTATATGCGTTTTAAATATTATGCGAAAACATTATTTTTTAATTTCTACATTTGTTACGTACATTCACGCCACGTAGCACCTCCATACTACCTTATCTTGCAAACACTGGCTTTATTAGTTCAATAAAGAATTAAGTGAATAAGTGAGCACTGAAATAATAAAAATCGCGAAACACAAAAATATGGGTATAAACAAAACAAAACAAACTTACATCTTTTTCAACTGTCACTACTAATAATTCTATTCCAAAATTGAGATAATAGCCACTGTATGTGCCATGCCAAAGTGCCAAAAATAATAATGATATTAATTGAGATAAATTTTTATTGCCCAAGAAACGTAAGCGTTTATAAACATAGCTAGAAAACATAGTCAAATATAACAGAAATTTGTAACAATGCTAATAGGAATATAATTTCTTAACAAAATTACAATCCAGTTTCTTTCTTATTCAATAGCATATCTTTAAATAAAGTGTATGTGTTATTAATTTAGAGATATTTTAGTTTCAGTTGATTGTAAAGACTAACTTAATGAGATGACGTTCTTCGCTATGGGTTGATATTAGATGTGGAACTATCGAAAAAGAGGAGGATTTAGACAGCTGTTTCGTTCTACTTTTAAACTCCATAACAATGAGCACCCATAAGTGTTGTCTAATGTAATACTCTACAACTCGTTTATCTTTCCCAAAAACTCAGAAAAAAAGAAGAATGATTCGGTACATTAACACCAGGTAGACCAATCAATGTAAATCACAAAACATTTTATAGGCTCTAATATAACCAACTAAGAGATCACGGACAGAATCATCAGTTCATATCATAAACACAAAGATTATAAAAAACATGATACATTTTCTCACGATATTTTTCTTTACTAATGAACGTCCATCCTATAAACAATATTATATTGTAATCTCTTGTTACTGACCCTAACTATGATTATTTCCAATAGTTACCTAATAGTATATACAAGTACAAATTACCTAGAATATAAAAAGAGAGAACTTAAAGAAGACAAGGATAATAGTATATTGAACATTACGAATTAAATAAAGAATGAACATACTGAAACACCATTGAAATAAATTTGACCAACATTCCAAATAAGTAAATTCTGTCAGCTTGACGACAGTATCACTAAAAATTAACCGACTTTTCATATGTGTTGGACAAATACATAAATCTGTGAGATATTATTGATCTGATTACAAACAGGTGTACTCCGTCATAATACATAAACTCAATAATACGTTATCTTATAATGAGTAATATCAGTCTTGCAAACTAAGTTTCAGAGATAGTATAATTACAGACATATTTAGTATCGATGTTTTATTAACCGAAAGTATGCAAATAAATTCAACATATTCTATTCAGTGATTATCTTGAATTTGACAGATAAATATGAAGATGACGATAAATAAACTATGGAAATTTTGGGTCTGTTTTCTACATATTGTATTAACGTCTCATCAAAATGAAGTAACTCTATTATATAACCCCATGAACATTTAATTTTCAATGATTAGTCCGAAAAACTAAGTCTAAGCTAATCAGACTGCCGTCATTTGTAGGGAATATTCTATGCCAACAAGTTTACACGGTATAATGGTATTACTATCAATGTGAAATTAAAATACACTCAAATAGAATCTAATTACAACTCAAAAACTAATAACTACTATTTCGCGGTTAATTGTCGCAAACTTTCTTACTTGTTTTTTCAAATGTAGGTATATATATATATATATATATTTGAGGTATTAAAAATCCAAGCAAAAAAGACATGGGTGGTGCAAACCCTCCATATCATAGTAAAGTAGTTAAAATGCATGCAAACACATACGTATCTGTTGATAAATAAGTCTTTTAGTATCTTGACATCAGAAGATAAAACATATTTGAGTAATTTATAAAAACAACTACATTAAATTCTAAATCTTATTTTAACAATTTTTTAGAAAAATCTTTAAAATGAAGCTGTTTATATCAATTCCACTGGGTTATGGTGTTTGAAGCTTTTAGCGAATTTCTAAATAACATAATTATTCACTAGTTATCACTACCACAGATATTATATCAGCTCTAATGATTGGTATGTAGATTTTTCTCTATGCGAATCAGAGATGGCTTACAAAAAAAGCATTTGCTCAAGAAAAAACTTTAGTTTGACAAGAAACATCAGGGTTTGAAGATCTGCTCCTCACTGACTGTTTGACAGCTTTTGGAAATCTTACTCATTATTAGACTACTAAAAAGATGAATCCTATATATGACAAATAAAACATACGTGTTCTGACGACTTTAGGAGTGCACAACCAATAAACAGGTCTGAGACTCCAATATTATCATTCAAAACTTTGGATGACTATGACACCTAAAAGATACAGAATAATTTTTTAAATAACTCCACAAATATCACCTTGATGGGAAATTTTGGATCTCGTGATTAGCTTGGTTTATCAAGGACTAAAGAAGTTAAGAGGGATCAAAGTACAGACCACAGTAGCCAGTGATCATTTGATAGTATCCAATCCCATACCCTATTATTCTGGCATAATAACATGTTTAGAGAAAAATGTAACAGTTCACATTGTAGAATAACGAACGAGATGTAATTAAAAAAAATTAATTACAATAGTAGTGAATTATTCTGCATAAAAGAGAAAATGTGATGGTTAGGGTATATCATATGAATTATCATATAATTTGCTCATCACATATTTATTATATAGAATAAATTATGTAGATTGGTGAATCCAAATAGTTAGACGTTAATGTTTGACTGGTAATGAATAACATGAGATGCTTTATTTTACAAACAATTTCAGATACACACTTTAAACTACTAATAAAAATGAGCATCACATTTCACGGAATAAAAGAAAAGGAATTTGATACAAAACTTAATTAAATTATACATGTTCAATTTACTAATAATACCCTTGACTATTTGACAGTAAATACCATAACCTATCAATAAAAATTATCACTTTCATAAGGCTAGCTTCAAAAACCACACTAATTACATGATAGATAATAATAAAATAGAATAGATGTTATCAAACATGATATTTGGTTTTTCATAAAAGCCTTTTACACTAAAAGAAATGCAAAAGTAATAAAGCCTGTGATCTACTTACAAAGCCTTCCATATATTTAGGCTGGTACCAAAATATATGATATCTTAAGAACAACTTACATATCTTCACATAAAAGAAATAATTACTATTCATTTATAAACAGACTGTCGATTCAGTGTCTCATAAATGTGGAAACATGACAAACTTACTCTAAAAGCCATTTGTTGGTATTGATATTGAAACCGGCAACAATGTCGTCAGTATTCGTTGCGAAAATATACCGTTTTAAAGAAATATTTGCACAGGCTGTATGAGGAGCTTCACGTACTATCACTTGTGTAGGATCATAAAGTTCCGCATGGGATTTAATATAGTTATCTGCAAAAGACCAATCCACAGCAGAATCCCGACGTTTTAAAACAGGACCGTCACGTGTAAGCGTGTCAGAATCCTTATTTTTTATAAAATCGGGCAGCTGAATAGATCCTTTGGATTTAATATGAACAAGACCAGTACATCCAAGTCCAATTAAAACACAAGAACCTTCCTTCAGGAGAAAATAAAACAGGCTTTTCGTAAAGTGAAGTAGCATTAAATCGTGTAAACTAGAATAAGTAAACCAAAAATGCACATCATATTTAGTACATATGCTAGAATCGAATTGAAGTCAAATACCACATAAGTAGATGAAAAGAAAAGCTCATGTACTACTGATAGATTCCAAACAGATTACACAGAAGAATATAACAGTGACTTCGAATCTTTTAATATACAGAGGTAGCTCCTAATACTTGTCAATCAAATTGTGTTAATTTTAAAATTTCACCCTCAACCGGGCATATTCCTACACAATTAAAAACGTAGGTCTGATAAACTGTGCTACTCAGTAACCCTCAGATTTTAGTGTTAATTTGAAAAACCTTGTAATCGAATACTAAAAGCAACAATAACCACGGACAATTCATTAAGATGTATTTAAAAAACACTTTAACGAAGACTAAACTCAAGATATCCGTTTGTTTTTCTGATTATGGTTCAAGATGTTGCCAATTAGCAGAATACAAGATAAAACTTTTCGTGAAAAGTTTCCAATAAAGTAAGCAACAAACATCACAAAAGGTTGACGTTTTCGCCACAACCAAAGTAGCCAATTTAATTTTTATGGTGAAGTATCCAGTTATGACTACAGACAATCATGTTTATGATAGTATGTCATAGTAAACTGCTGAAATATGCTAGTGAACAAATGTCGAATTATTATTTAGTGTACGACTAAGTTTGTAGGTGGGGTGATGGGAAACATTCATTCGGTGGAGTATTAGGACCCTCCCCTTTGACGGGCATTAGCAAATCAACTTCGGGCAATACCGACATAAATTATGATAGAATGCAGTTATCGTTCACTAGACTTCATCAAACCTCGAGACATTGGGCGTAACAGTTGTAAACACGTACATTAGACACAATAAATTTGTAGAATTATTTACAACTAGAAGTCCCACACTAGGATGAAACGGGCGTTCATTCCTTCCAGGTTTACAATGGTGGTCTAGTATTCATCGGTTCATGATCTCAATCAAAATAGGCAATATTAAAGTAACACAAAACTTAGGCTTACAGCTATTAGCCAGATGGATACGTAACGTAATAACGTTATCTGTCCAAATATTATCATGTAAAGCAGACGTGAAAAGAAACTCCATTCCTGTAAATAAAGTTTTCAGTAACGAAAGTGACAGTATAACGGATGACAAAATAAGAACAGTAACATGGTGATTTGATTTATACTTCAATTATCCAAAACAAAACATAAAAACGCATTCAACTATAGCAGCACTTAATACTATGCATGAAAGAAATTCAAAATTTTCATTCGAAGCAAAAAATACAAGCGTGAATTCATGAGCAGTCAGTTATTTTTACAACGGTCATGTGAACTACATGCATCTACTAATATCAACTTAATTACCGTAGACATATTCGTACACTGTGCTTGTAGGCACAACCCTAGTGTTATTAGCCGTTCGCCGAAACTGTGATAGATGAACAGCGTTTTGAACTTGTGACTTAGTGGCTGAAAATCAAACGGCTAACCACTGAGAGATTGTTAATCTAAGGATGTACAAAGTTATATCAGAGTAATCCATCTTTAGTTATACTATATACGGTGGAGATTTAGCTTAATTGTTAGTCAACTGAATACTTAATGTCACGTCAATTCATGATACAGAAAAACAATCATAAGAAATCATTGGCGCTTAACTGCCTAAATTCTAACATAAAATGAGAGGTGTGAACCACCGTATTTTGACTTGGAAGTCTGAATGCATCATCTATATTCAGAGATCTGAATGTCCGAAATTCAACCTCATATTCAGGGTAGTGGGTTTGCACGGTACTGTTAAGTCGCAAACTACACTGAAATAGGCACCCAGTCCTCTCTGGTTTACAATGGCTTCCTACATGATCTCAGGCCCTGATGAAATCTGTCATCAAATTATATGAAATTACTACAAGCCATCTTGATCGGTAGACATTCATTAACAAACAAATCAATGAACTGATTTCCTATAGACTATAAACCTGAATTTAGAAGTTACCTCAAACAAATAAATGAGGATAAAATTTACACAGTATTAGAATGGGATTATTTATTTGACTACATTTTCGTACGGCAAATTATGGATGGGTATAAATAGGCACCGTCAGTGAACTCAAAGTTTTAAATCAAATCATAACATAGATAAACAGACATAGGCGAATTTAAAAAGCAGAATTAAATTAGTACATTGGACAAAACGTTGGAGGCTATATATGTGTCAGAAGTACATGTGTGAAATATTTTATACTAAGAAAATGAATGAAACTGCACTGATTTTAATCAGAACCAACATTTGTAAAAGATGTTGAAATCAATACAGAAACCTGACACGGCAAAACAACAATTCTCGAAGAATAACTTCCAGTTTGATAAGTACATACTACAGTACCCACGATGTTTCGAAATTTATGGTAAGAACGCCAAGTGAAATCACTCAATTTATTTTACTAGCGTGGTAGTAATTCTCCTTCCCCATAATTCTAAATAATAAGTGTAATTTTAGAACTTTATAACCGCAATCCACTGCATTTCGTATTTTGAACTTTCCAATTTTCAGTTTTCTTATTTTTAATGTCTTACATTAGTTTTGTATATTTCATTTTTCTTCTCATTTTTTTTACTGTGATAGACTTAAAGTAGACTGAGAGATAAAAGCTATTATCCTAGGATCTACATCACTAATCTATAGCTAAGCATGCTACTTTTAAAATATTTCTTGAAAAAAAAAACTTCAGCTTGGAATGAGTTGATAGATGTAAATGTCTCAGTGGATTAAGCAGCTCCTATAACAAAATGTATATTTGTTTTATGATAGAAAATTATTAAAATTTAGTACAAGAAAACCTACACATAAATATTAAAGGGTTTTAAAGTATTAAATCTTTACGCAACGTATTTACAAAAGCAGATTTCTGTAACCAGGTTTAAGGTAGATTTTATTCCAAATCTTATTATATTATCCAACTCTTCATATAGAAGTAGATTAACAATTATGAGGAATTGCGACGTAACAGTCAAGGGCTTTAATCACTAATACACAATTCAACTATTAAAACATATGTTATTAACGGGCTGACAAAACCAACGAAATAGATACAGCCAATTTTTGTAAAGCTTCGTCCTCTAGGCTGGATGTCTTAATCGCAAGGCTTTTACTGTTCTTCTGAACAACATAATCAGTACAAACTTCAAACAGAAGTCAGTCATTTGAATTTCTCCACATCCGACTGATAGCTTGTTATGTAGACCTCGATTTTCATTGGTCATTGTTGACAAAAAAGGAGATAGTCAAAAAAATATCCAGGTAAGAGAACGGTCGACAGGAAAAACTGTCAGAGAAATTTGGAGAGACGTGGATAGTTCACCTTCATTTACATTTTGTGCTAATTATGTTTCTCAGAAGAGCAATGAACGTTTCATGACTAAAACATACAATTCGCAGAACGGAACTCCGCTTGTCATTAACCTGAGTAACAAATCTCCGCCCTTCCAAGATACCGCCAAAGACAAAATAATTTGTAAGCGTTATGAAATAATACAAAGAATGTCTGCAGACGATTAGGAATAAGATATTGAAACCGTACAAAACAATCTTCTCAAGCGAAAATAGTAGTCCTTCGTTGAAATCTTAGTCTAAGATATTTTCTAATTCTGTACATATTATTAAAATAAACTTACTCTGAAATAGTATTACATGAAATTACGTGTAAAAAATCAGTAATTTACAGTGATAACTGTTTTGAATATTTTTCCGCCAGAATTTTGTGATGGGGTAGTTTGATTTAAACAAATGAAATTGATGACCAATGACAACTTTCCAAAAGAAAATAAAACAGATGAGAAAATAACCCAACTACATAAAGCATAATGTGTATATGAAATATCATACATAAACCAATTAGTCATATATTTAAAGTACAGTTAAACTAACATATTGAAACTCATCAGTTAACATTTTATCAGCAGGATACATTGCGAACCATTTCGATAAAACAATTAAGCCAAAATGTCCCAATACAAAGCGACTCAATGTCCGACGGAACCTGTTACACATAAGGAGTATGATTAGGTAACAAGTATCATAAGAAAACCAGACAGACTGAAAAAGTTATGATTTAAGAATTGATCATCAGTCATTCAATTATATGCAACGTAGAACCTCGCTCGCATGTACATAGGTTCGAGTTGTCATACTCCATTAACATTGTCAGATGAAATTATGAAGACCAATCCCAGAGTAGATGTAATAGAGTAGAAAATATAAATTGGTGGAGTACGAAAATCTTACAGGGTAATTTAGAGGCTTATGATCGAATGTACGTGGTACAGTGAGAACGATTTTGAACCATGTTATAACAATCGTTTACTGGCAAGAAACATGAGTAATATGAAGGTAAATTGTTTTACATTTTACAACACGTAGTTGACCATAATCACCCAGCAGATGACTTGTCATTTGATATTATTTATAAGAATAAGTCCAACTTACCGAAAGGTTTACGGGTACATATCTTTTGGATTTTAGAATTGTTAGTTATAAACAATTTGAACCAGAATATGTGCATGCAAAAACTATTTTTTTACAGTTGTTTCCACTATTTGAGCTTTAATTATCTTCATATGTCTTTGTATTTTTTTCTTGTATATTTCTGTATTTGTCTTTAGTCGTCTTTAAATAGTATGTAATTTTATTCTGTCACTATAATCCATTCAAACATTCCTAACTTTTGAGCAGGTTTAGAAAACTACTTTCTATTCTACTAGAAGATGTATTTATACGTGGATGGTAAGGGCAAAATACTAATAAACAGCATGAAAATTAGCAGCAAGCTGATATAAATCAAGTTCCGGCGTTCAAAATTACCGAAGCTATCTTTAGTAATTAGTTTATATTCATTTGAAGAAAATATATTAACGAAAACTTGTATTGATTGTCTACGATTAAAAAAATCTGGATTTCCCAAAAATGCAATGAGAGATTTAGATCGAATATAGTACAGGATACAGTACCGTACTTTCGATATAACGAGGTGAATATTGAGCACAGCTGGACTTTTGGATCTCTTTTACCGGTTATTACTACTTATATTTTTATTGTATAACTAATAAATACAAGAATGATTGTATCTTGGATTCCTCTAGTTGTAGGTTTTCGTTTGACGAACAAACTGTTGTGTTTTACATGTTGACGTGGTGGTCGGTTTCGCCTACAGTCGACAGTACAACTCCACCCTCGGACTTTCAGCTTGGTGCTTTTGGTCTTCCTGCCCTTCAGCCGACCTGTCTAGCATGGTGGGATCCTGAGGAACGATTGTTCCAGCCAGTAGAGCGCGATTGGTCCATTAAGATAGGCAAGTGTTAAATTGGAATCCTAAAGGGAAACGGAAAAGAGGAAGGCCAAAGAACACACTGTGTCGAGAATAGGAAGCAGACATCAACAAAATGAACAGCAACTGGAAAAGACTGGAAAGGATCGCCGAAGACAGAGTTGGATGGAGAATGATGGTGAAAGGCCTATGCTCCTCCATGAGAGATAGCAGGCGTAAGTAAGTTCCAAATAACTAACCACGTAATCTAAGAAATCGAACTTACAAGAAAATCTTATGGTATATTTCAAAATAACACGGAAAGAAAATCATTATAAAGTCAAAAAAATCAAGAAAGACAAGGTTGATGTAAAGCAAATAAGTACAGAATTACATGACTTTCAAAATTCAGTGACACTGACAGATTGTGAATGGTTTAGATGCACGTACATTTGAAGTTTTAAAACGGATGAACTGTGTATTATGGATTACGTTTAGTGATACACAATAAATAATACACATCAAAACCTTTGCTACAAATGTGTGATTAAACGTTTAGAGTACATATTGCAGTCAAATTTTTCGTATTTGCATAGATTGAACCTAAGTTTAATCTATTAGTGAGTTGTGAGTAGTTATTGAAATCAATTTACACAACTCGGTACCTAATGACAGATCTATTCACTCCATTTTGAACAATACCTTATGTGAGAGCTGATGACACTAAATCCAGCAATGAAATCGAAATAGTTAAGGCACATTTTGTAAAAAATTTATTCAGACTAAAGGACTTAACGGACAGCAAATGTCAGGTCGTCAATGACAATGAAAAAAGGTTAAATTAAAAGGGACATAAATACTTACTTGGCATTATAGATGAAACGGTGTTTAAATGTGTCCTTTCTTAGGGTGACTACTGGCCTTAATGATCCATCAATGAATGCTTGGAAATGCCGCATGGGAAACTTTTAAAATATAAACAAAATACCATAATTGCAGGTAAGAAGCAGATTTGAATGAGTTGTATAAAACGCAGTGCTCTATCTGTCACTGACTTAGTAGTGTTAACCAAATGTTTTATGGTGCTAAGTTAGTTCTCATTGGTTAGGAATATTATATTAGCATTTGGATAGATGTAGCAAATTCAGTGAATAGTTTTGAAAACATTAAAAACTTAATCCATTGTATTCACTTAGTATTGTTTGTTTGGATCTTCCCATCGATGTGTTTAGGACTGCAACTGGTCAGTCTCTAATTGGCATATGTGCATACTGTGCGTATTGCCTCGATATACCTTAATCCATCTCTGCTTACCATGCTTGTGAATTAAGGTATATCGAGGCAATACGCACAGTATGCACATATGCCAATTAGAGACTGATCAGTTGCAGTCCTAAACGCATCGATGGGAAGATCCAAACAAACAATACTAAGTGAATTCAAACTTCACCCCATCGCACAAGCAAGTGGCTATCAGGACTCAGTGGCCGAGTGGATAACGCGATGGCGTTTGAAGCGAGGGTACTGGGTTCGAGTCCCACAGTGAACATCAACTCTGAGATGCAGGTACATCCAGCTGACGAGTCCCAAATAGGACGAAACGCGCGTCCTGGATTCCACTGCTAGCCACTATCCATCTCTGCTTACTAATCCATTGTAGTTTGTTGCTAACCCAAGTAAATTAGAGTCATTCGTACAAGGATACTGTTAACTATTTAATTGGTGAAGTAGTTTATAATCAAGCAACTATATGATGTTACAATAAGTAAATTGACATAATAGAGAAGAGACATTTAGCCGGAAAAAAACAATAGTTAAATAATTCAACCATATATCTTAATACACCTAGTAATACTATGAGTATTCTACAGAAAAGATAATTACAGCTAAACTGTTTGAAGTTTAGAAATGAATTAATGATGCAAAATAGCAACCAAGTACAAGCTGGTAGAATCAGATTTGAACCACACACTACATAAGGAAACTAGTAATATTAGGCAGCTGGAAAAAAGTTTGAACATAAAAACTACAATAAATCAGTCAGACTGATTCCAAGTGTAATGAGCATAACTTATTAATCGTGATATCAACAACAAAATAAACAGACTGTTTATTTTTTGGGCTAACTAGTTTGATAGTGAAGCTCAGATTGTCATTCTACATAACAGTTGATACACAATGGTGCGTAACGAACTAGTGAAAGTTTTAGCATAGCTAATAAAAATGCCTTAATTGCATACAAAAGAATAATTAGCTAGTTTGATACAGGTCATTTGAAAAGGAAATCAGTGTTTTCCTTCAATCAAATCATAATTATCGACAATACATAATCATTTGTACTTTCGAAACGATACATGAAAATTTAATTTGAGAATATAAATCTTACAGCATAACGTTCTGCAAAAACTACTATGAAGCCATCAAATAATCTTGCCCTAGTCCCTTCAACATTAATCGATTTTAATGATTATATCTAAAGAATACTCAGTATTTAACAAAGAATCAATTAATGAACAGTAATCTGAGCAATAGGATACAGAAACGAATCAGACAGGTATTAATAATAATCGGATCCAAATATATTTACTTTAAGCAACTAATAAAAAACGTTACTCACCTGGGGTCCAGTAAGAAAAGCTGTTGGAGTAAAAGAAAAGGCTAACGTCTCCAATACTCCAGGGAATTTAGATAAAGCTGACTTTTTTTGAGAAACCGAACGTTGACTCTAGAGAAAATAAGACAAATTAACATTTAGTTGGCATGATACTAGCTAACTAGTATTAACTTTGACGTTTTAACGACTTACAAATGAAGATCTGTAAAACTCTGGGGCAAAACGCTGTAGTGAGTAAAAAGATTGCCTTACAACTATTTCTGGATGGCATTAACACTAACTTACGTACATAATACATAAAACCTGTCTTATCAAAATGTTAGGACTCCCATACTCTAATATTCTGGGAGTTTTAGTTATGAGAACTTATGAACGACTTACAGGTATCCTTAACTAAAATCCCTTTCTTCACTCTAACACTGCGGTGTACCTTTGACAAATGCAATGAATGTTTTGTATTTTGCTGTAAACTGCTATTTAACGAATGGACGAGCCATTTATTGCCGGAGAGGATTAAACCTTATCAAAGAACAAGAAAAAGAAACATTGGAATCATGTGCTATAATATATGTATACAAATTCCCTCGTATGGCTGAGGATGAAAAGAGTCAGCTCTCCTTATTGAAATCCTCTCACATGGCCACACGTATCCAGCCACTGCTAGAGAAGTCCTACTCAATACCTACTCGTTGGGGGAATGCTGTTTACGAAATTGAGAAGACGAAAAGCAAATGTCTGGCGCTTGAACTGGATTTGTGGATATGGAGGATCCATCTAGGGGAGTTGGAAAACCGAGATTCCAAACCGATGATGCACACGAGCTCCAGTATCCTGAAGGAACAAATGATGTATGAACCTATTTTTTGTCATTGGCTGCTATGAGACTGCATTTCTCAACGTTGACTCCTTGTCTTGTGGATTAGACTCCTAGCTCAAAAGCTCGGAGAGTGGCCTCCTAAGAAAACCACCTGCTTTGGTTTCGGATCCCGAGCAGTATTCCAGCCCTTAAACAAATCGAATGAAATATATATATTTGGTTCCTCCATATACCACCGTTTATGTTTGAATAATAAATCGAAAATAAATAGCAAGACGCCACATGAGTACGATTACCAGCATATCAGCAGGACTGATTGCATGACAAAGATAACACGAAAAAAGTATGAATCAAAAGTGATTTTATGGATTGGGTATTGTTGTATGTCTGTAACGAATTACTGTGTGAATTTGATATGTGTACCTAGCTGCCAATGCGGAAGAAACTTGAGCTTTCAGGCCAACAAATGACACAAAATCAAAAAGTTAAGAATTATTTGAGTGATGTCGTTAGATGACTGGGATAGTAGTACTAGAAACCGACTTAAAATGAGTATTTTGACAGTAACTTCATGTAATTCATTTGACTCCAAATCTTTCAGATACCATCTCTATTTTTGTTTAACTTCATCATAAACCTACTGCTGGAAATAACGTTCTCGTCGGCTGGATTTTCAAAAATTAATCTCCTTCCGGGAGGTCCACTTATCGATGATATATTCCTGTTTGGTGAAGATGCTGACAAAATGCAGAGTCTTTTGATAGCAATGAGTAACAAAGCGAGGGTGTTTGGGATGCGTTTCTCCCTCCCTAAATGCAAGTTGTTGCTCCAGGACTGGCCTGCGACAACACCTGAACTAAGCATATGGAGCGAAATAGTCGAACGCGTCGACAACTTCACTTATGATTTTCAGATGGTTGAGTCTTGGAAGTCTGATCAGCCCTAATGGGTTGGTGTCTGACGAAATCTCTGCATGGATTCAACAAGCTCGTTTGAATTTCGCCAATTTACGTCACCTATGGTGAAGGCGATATGTCCGTCTGTCGATCAATTAAGAGACAAGCATATTGCGCAGCACTTCGTTCTGTCCTACTTTACGGCTGTGAAGCGTGGCCATTAAGAGTAGAAGACACTCGTAAGTTACTAGTATTTTATGACAGCTGTCTTAGAAATATTGCCAGCATCTGTTAGGATCATCGGGTAAGTAATGGTGAGGTTAGACGCAGGGTATTAGGGAGTGATGGTGAATCAGTTGATGAGGTGAATATTCGTCAACTTAGATGGTTGGACCACGTGTTACATATGCCTGAACACCGATTACCACGACGCGTTAAGCTGACTAGTATTGGCGATGGTTGGAAGAAAGTTAGGGGCGGCCAAACCAAAACGTGGCATCAGTGCTTGAAGTCACTAACTTCTAGTCTGAACCATGTTGATAGATGCAGACTGCTTGGTTGGAGTCCGCGTGACTATCATAACCAATGGTTGGAGACTCTGTCGGACATGGCACAGAATCCATCACAATAGCGCAGATGTATACACTCTCTGTTTTCCTTTAAACAGTGAGATTGAAATCGCTTCACATCTGTCTTTCTTCCTGTACTATACCCTTATATAGTCTTTCTTTTATATATTACCACCATCAAATTAATAACTACTATGAATTTGGTGTTCACCTTGTTGTGCTAGTGAGGTATGGCAACCTGGACCGATGCATATGTGTCTGGTCCTACATTGTAGCTGACTGACTGGCCTCAGATACTACTCTCCTTTATTGATCCATATCTTAAGGATATTAGTCTTTTAAATCTTAATTACAATTTTGATAGTAGCCAACATTAAAAATTAGAGTGAACATTTTGTTCCATTCAAAACTCGTTATCTATATATCATATGGCTCATTATATAGTATTTGTTTAAAGTGTAGACTCCAGATATGAAACCTAATATGGCCTTAGGCGTGTACCATTAACACTATTTGGATCAAGATTATAGATATCAGTGAAGTTTTTCTCCGGACTCAATGAACAAAATATAAAGTGATGTGATTTTTTCTCACCTCTATTAAATCACTTGACATATAATAAACATTAAGGAGAAATGCTAGGTTTGCATAATCTTGCTTACCCTAAGAAAACGGAGGAAAAGTGGGTGGAAATTAATCTTATCCTGGAGCTTATAACTAAAAATTTGTCTAAACAGTAAAGAAATAAATACCGGTATCCAGAGTTCACTATCCTATATCGTGATAACGAATTCGAAATACTGACTTCGGTGACTTCCCGGTGGAACGTCGAATGTATTATGAACCGATATCCTGACCACTTCACGTGAGACTCCCGCCACTAACTATCAGTAATGTGTGAAGAAATGTGAGAAACCATAAATTTGTAAATTTTGAGTTGAAAATTTAGGAGCATGCACCAACTCAGGGATTTATTTGGCTTCTCGGGATTTCAAATATTTTGATATCCTAAACCCAATATACTCCAAATTCTAACAAACAAGGCAGCTATAGTGAGTGAAATTTACCTCAAAATAGTTTGAAACAATCCCAAAACCAATGGTGACCGATACTTACTTCTGGTTCAGATGCATCGTACAAATCCCATGACAATCCAATCATTCGCAAACAAAGAACACAATACGGTGTTGTCCAATTTATATCATAGGTACCTCGGTTACATATATGAGAGCCGATAACTAAATATCCCTTTTAGTTGGTAGCGATTAAAATCTACTTGCAAACAAACCATATTAAACACAAAAGCAAAGATGACGGCAGTTCTCGAGTGCGTAAACAAATAATTAACAAACAGTGTCGTAAAAATCCCGACAAACATATGCACAATATCAAAACCTAGAGGTAAGGACAATAAAGACAACATGAATCTACCAAAATTCCATAGGAATAAAAGGACACCACAAGTAAACAAATAAAGATGTCGATAGGAAGTTCTCCATGAACTTGCCTTCATATCGTATATAAAAGCGATAGGATAACCTAACGAAAACATTGATGACGAAAATGCGCTACGCTGATAAACAAACCCATGATCATGGATAAAAGTAGACGAATACACGCAACATCTGTATCCAGCTTTTCTGAAATATATGATGCAAAAGTCTCCATTTTGATATGCAGGTGGAGAAACAGAAATAATTAACAGTGAGTATTCGTGACAGTAGTTGGTCCAGTTTGTAGACGTCGACTTCAGCTGTAGAATATTTTAATACAAATAAACAGAAAATCAGACAAATCAGAAACTCAATAATACTGGAGTGTTACATTAACTAATACACAAAATCCCAAACACCTCCTTCTTCATCTAATAGATATATAACAAATTAACATGATGGTCGTGTTTGCGATATTGTGATGAGAGAAGCAAATAAAGTATAGCAGAAGCAGATTGTTACAAGTAAAAATCCAATATCAAATGGTAATTATAATTAGGCTTCATTAAAAAGAAAACATTTCCACTTGAAATGAGAAAAAACAGATTTGCAACAATTCACTAAACGAGTACTTAGTGAGTGGTGTCTAGACACTTCACAAATGTAATGCCATTCCACGGATCTCAGCTGATTATTATCGCAGTAGTTAAAGGACATGACATCTGACTATACGGTTAAACGTTTGGACCTCATTCCGCAAGCTTCAAAAGGTGAAGTTTTGTACACAAGTACATAAACCTATACTGAATTATGATAAGGATACATTGTTTTCATGTGGCTAGGTGTCATATCCAATGTAACAATAACGATCGAATTGAAGCAAACTATAGAGTTTACGGTTTTATTTCCTTTTGAGTTAGGACTGGTTGGAAAAGTAAATCCCGTAACTGTGTTGATCCTTTTTACAACATCAATAATGTAACATTTAGCGGTTCCTTAAAATAAATCAAGAAAATCATAATCGAGGTATAATCTACGCTTCACTGTTGAAACCTCCCAGATTAAACAGGATGCAAACGTTATAGAAAAACGAAAACCAAGAGAAAGTACCAAATAACAATGGGACTTGAATAATCAGTATGGTATTATTAATTTGTTGAATTAATCCACATATGGATGCTCTCGAATCCCCCATATCTAAATCCTTACTCATTGAATCAAATCATTACGACCTTACATTATGGGGATGTAGCTTTCAAAAACCAGAAAATATTAAGGATGGCCAAAAATTTTACCCGTGATATACTGGAACAATTAACTGGAAATATCTCAAAAAAAAATCTTGGAAGGTTTCATTGAAATGGAGCTAAAGCTTAAAATTTGAACGCCGCTATGTCAACATAAGACAAAAGAGAACTTATCCCTAAGTAGAAGCTTATAATCTACTTACACTTAACAGTGGAACCGAGAGATAACAGTTATTAACTCACGAGGATTCACTGAGACGATGTAGTACACGGAAAACAATACAAGATGCTTTGAATAGTGCGCTACATGAATGACAATAAACTCAGAGGGACAATACATCGATCCAATAAAAAAAATCACTTAACGAACTTTTAACGTTGTACAAAACAGTTAGTTCGTTTTGCCGGTGTATTGACTTTAGGAAACCTATGTTGGCTAATCAGCTGCGTTTAAGTGTTCGTTCGGTCTTTGACTGAAGTTATGCTAGCAAATCCAGTAGATTCCTCAGGGTTATTTTTCCGGAGGAAACCAAACTTGCCGAAGAGGACTATATTTGCACCATTTGGCAGCCTGTTGACTGATATGACCTACTCAAAGGGTGTCAATGTAAAAAATGTCAGTCAAAAAAGAGAACTAAACATTCTAAACTATTATCAGGATGAGAACACAATGGTAAATATGAAGTGATGGAACGAAAAGGAAGTTAACGGGTGAAGCATGGCCTGTTTTGACTTGAAGATACAGTTCATAGATAGTGTAGGGTCGGTGAAATGTCACTGAATATCGAACAGATCATCGATCCCTGTCAAGGCCAAGGATAGTCAACGCGCACCAGTCAATCACACGCCATGGACTGGCCCACGCAGCAGTGGTCGTACTCTCGCTTCTGTACTTTCGTGGTTGTACCTTAACTAATATATTCTTGTAATAACGTCCTTTGTGTTGTACAGTCTCCATAGAATCCATGGCTCCTTGTTACGTCGATGGGGGCAATCCCCGTAACGTGCTGGTCGCGAGGTGTGACTTCAGCGTTAATTGGTTCGTCACCATTCTCGTCTAACTCCAGTAGGCCCCCAATCATTTCGACATGAACCATTAACGTAGATGATCTTACAATAGCAACCTAATACTTAAGACCTTGTAGAAAGCCGTTCTGACATCAATTAAGTTTGTTAATATAGGCAGTTTCTAGCAGTTTAAAGCACAGCAACTTCATAGTGCTACTAGTAAGTTTATGAATAGCTTGTTATAAAACATTGTTTCTTTCCAGAGAGAGGACCAGCCCTTGGCTTATTTTGTAAGTGGTGTGGAAGTATTTCCCAGGATCCTAAAAATCACTGTGGTTAAACGCACAAGACGACAATCATAAGAGTTATATCTCGTGCATGTTTGGAAGAGTTCCTCAAGCCACTCGATAATCAACGTTGGCTGACAAAAAGATTAAAATAATTGCTTAGAAGATTTGCAGTGAATAGTAAGAGTCGCTTTATTTGCCTATGGTGCATCTATAAGATCCTTATTGAAGGTTTTATGTGTGAAAATCCCTTCATGTATGCATTTGAAATTACTTCTTTTTGACTCCTTCGGATATATATTCTGTTGGTCTTTTCGTTTCCATTTGACATTTTACTATTTGTATTTTATTGCGGTTTTTGTTTTCCCAACGCCTTCACTGAATTCTGTGTTTTCCTGAGCTCCAATTATTTTGTTCCAGTTCATATTTAGTCATGTCGGCAGCCATATTGGCTCACTTCCCTTTTTGAATATGCTATTCGTAATGACTGGAATTGTACATTTTTAATCATGAGTCGAAGCACTCTTCCAGAATCGGAAACGAAATTAGATATTATCTTTCGAGTGATCAGTACTTGATCTATTCAGAAAGGGCAGCATAACGTTTATTTGTTGCGTTTGGTAATTTTCTTACGTTCCTTATCAACTTATCTAATGACGTAATTTAGATTTGACCACTGATAGAACAATTATTGGTTGAATAGCAGCTTGTTCCTTCATTTACCCATTACCTTGTTTTGGTTTCGACTTGGCAATAGCACCTATCTCAATTTACCCGGACACTTATTCATCATTCCAAACCTATTTAGTTTGGAAGCTACATCACCTGGCCAGGGTCTATAGGTTTTTCGTTTGTCTATCCTTTATAGTGGTCAGATGTATCCAGTTCTGTAATTGTCATTATGTTCACAAAAAGAGTGCTAGTATTTACCTTCTGCTGCCAGATGGTCATTGCTTCAGTATATATATATATATACCCCTTGAAGGAGCACTCCACGTAGGCGATCTGTCTCTAGACCACGAAAATAATTCAGGAAACTTCCCAGCCAGCACGCGTAGGCGGCAACCGAAGCCGGCGAACATAGCCGTCTGTTATGCGTTACAGATTTTATCATGAAATTTCGCTTCCTCGTCGATACTGTGCAGAAGTTAGTGGTCTTCCTGTAAATTCTAATGACCGGCTTTACTAATCTGTTTAAACTTACAGGTGGCGAGCGGAAAGCCAATCACCACACATGATAAAAGGTACGTTTACCTTAACGTGGGTTTACGCAAACCCATTCACTGAATCTTCATTGTTGCAGATGTTTCTATGCCAACCATCGATGTCGACCTCCTATAACACCACAATCTACTCATCGATACGAGCAAACGGAGGCTAGTAGACGGAAACATTAATTTATCTGCTAGTGTAACTTACTTTCTTGGTTGCAGATTATCTCCAGTCACAATTAGGCACACGATAGACCCATTATGTCAAACATTACTCGATAAGCACTCTGGGACATACCAACCGCAACGAAAATGCCGCTTGTAACCAGTAATGTTACACACCTCATCACGCCTACAAGACCACCTGTATTCTCGAAAGCACGCCGACTGGCTTTTGAATAGCTGATGATGACTTAAAACGAATTCGACCACATGATAGGGTTAGGAATAATTCGACCGTCAAATAGCCCATGGACATCTTTTCACATGGTCCTTAAAAAATACAGCAGAGATTGGCGTCCAACAACTGACTATCGGCGTTTGAGTGCATAACCCATTCCCGATCGTTTCCCGCTGCCTCACATTCACGATTTGACAGCTACCTTGAAAGGTACAACTCTCTTTTCGAAATTCGACTTGGTTATAGCTTATAACCAAATCCCTATGGCTACTGACGATATTCCGCTGTCATAACTCCCTTCGAACTCTACAAATTCCTACGAAGGCTTTTCGGTCTAAGGAATGCTCCTCAAACATTCCAAAGGTTCATAGATGACGTACTTCGAGGTCTCATCTCCGTACATGCGTATGTTGATGACTGTCTATTAGCAAGCCCGGACAGAGAATCACATCCCCAGCATCTGGACAATGTTTTCGAACGAATTCAAAGACATGGCATTACTGTAAACATTCGGAAATGCCAAATCGGAACCGACTCCTTAGATTTCCTAGGACACTATTGATGCATAAGGTATCCGACCTCTTAGAAGCAAAGTGGAGGGCACTCTGGATTACCCAGAACCGACCAACACTGAGCGATTGTGCATATTTAACAGCCTCGTAAGTTTTTATAGACGGTTCATTCAAAAATGAGCATCCCTTATGAAACCGCTAACCGAACACCTTTATGGAAATGAGAAATCCATTATTCTGGACGACACCACGGTAAAAGTATTTTCCACATTTAAGCACATCAGAACACTCAAGCGCCCATCAGTATCGCAGTAGACGCATCCTTCGTCGAACGATGGGTTGCGAATTTCGGTTGCCCTTCAGCCATCATTACAGACTGCGGATGCCAGTTCGAATATGAACTTTTCCGTTGTCTGACCACGCTACTAGGAATCACTCTTTTCCAAACGACCGCCTGTCACTCACAAGCAAATGATTTGGTGGAATGCCTCCACTGACAACTGAAAGCTCCACTAACAACTGCAAACGTTTCGCAGTGTACCAACGCTCTTCCACTCGTCTTGCTAGGTATTCTCAATTCAGTGAAAGCTGTCATTGGATACACTACAGCTAAATTCGTTCAAGGGACGTCACTCCGACTTCCAGGAAAATTCGTGGATTCTTCGTCCTCTTCAATGAACATGGATCTAAACTCTTACACGAGCAGGCTTACAAACGCGATGCGTTCAGTCAAACCTGTTTACTCTCGACCTCAATCAACTGATGTTTTCGTTCAACCTTACTTACGATATAGTACACATGTCTTCGTAAGTCGAGACTCACATTGACGACTTCTCGAATAAGCATACGAAGGACCCTTCAAATTTCTTCAGCGTTCTTCAGTCAATCCTCGCCTTTACATCTGCATCAGGTCCTCCTTGTTTATCAATGATGCTTCACAGGTACGTGAATGTTTCCACCTCTTCCAGAGTTTCGCCACCAAGTGTGATTGGGTTAGTGTTTTCCCTGTTGTATTTGAGAATCTTGCTTTTTCTTTTGTGTATGTTGAGGCCTATTGATGCAGAGGCGGCCACTACATTTTCTGTATTTTTCTGGATTTGTTTGTGTGTATGAGAGAGGAGAGCTAGGTCATCTGCGAAGTTCAAATCATCTAACTGATTCTGAGATGTCCATTGTATACCGTATTTCCCCTCGGATGTCAAATTCTTCTTGCCAGTCTCATAAGATATCTGGTGTTGCAGTCATTTGTGTAAACTACCAGTGTAATCGAACGAGCGAATCCTCTGCAAACTAGGAGCATCACTTTCGAATTCGCCCTCAAACTGAAGAAAGTTCATTATATCATGATAAATATCAGTCAGGTTTGTGCTCCTGACACTTGCAGTTAATGTTCTTTCTGATAACCGCATATGCAGAGCTCACAACTCATCATTTGGTAAAGACTTTTTTAACTAAGAACAATGTGCATTATATCACTTATGGTTTTATTACAGAAGTCATATTAATTTCAAAAACACTAATTTATGCAATTTCAGACAAATCAAATTTATAGCTTCTGTTTAGGCTGATTCTCATAACTAGCTTGTATGTACAGTAATTTCTAATCATACATCTGTTGGTACTAATGTGAGTAACTTGTTCATCGTGTGATTGGAAACTTGAATTTAGAGCATGTCTCTCATGACTACACTTATGTTCGACTGGTTATTGTTAGTTATCCATTTGAAATTATTGAGATTACCACTACTTTATTGTGGCAAAACATCTTTAACAACAATTTTAATAATATTTTGTTATCGAATAATAATTTATTACACGAAGCATGCCAGGTAACAGGTAAGGTCAATTTGTTGTAAATACTACGGGATTTACTGTGACATATTACGCATTGAAATTGGTGTGTTACAACATAAGTTGACCATGAAAACAGTACGATTAATTTCCATGTGTTATAATATGAGTGTCAATAAGACTCCAGTAGCCAATATAAGAGATGATGGTCGGGAATGAACGTAAGTCCGAACTTTCAGCCGTGTTAAAGATGCCACAAGTATTCGTAGTTTGACAACTTTTTAACCAATGACACCTTTTGTAATAAAAATATACCAAACCAGTAAAATCAGAAATCATAAGCAAAGGGGTTCAAAGATATATTTGATAGGTCATCGATATAATAATAT